TAATTAATTATATATACGACAGCTTTATGTACAAGAGTTTTATTAGAAGAGTTTTATAGAAATAGTGTACAAGTTTTTTCATAGTTCTTTAGTCCCACTTGGTGCCATTTCCTGTTATCATATTTTTTTTGTAAGAAGTATATAGGATAGCTTTTTTTGAAAATTTTAATATATACGACAGGTTTTTTTTGAAAGGTTTAATATATACGACAATTTTTTTGAAAAGTAAAACAATACTGTACAGTCCGATTGTCTGTAGTAACTATGTTTCTTTATTTATTTAAATTACCGCCACGCCACGGCGTTCAAAAATACATATTAGTTAGCCGCATATTTTAGTTTCATCGTTAGCCGTCGCGGCGCTGTATTAATTGTTTTACGTTCCTTCGTGCGTATGTAACGACGAGACGCATGGTACAAAAAACCACGTGTAAAAAACGCAATAAAATGTTGTAACAAACACATCGAATAATTATTAAAAGGGTTATTTATGAGAACCAGTGAAAATAAAAGAGAAAACGCGTGCCGAGCACCCGGCTAAACGAGAGCCGCATAACAAATACTGTTTTGTTTTAGTTGTGACAAGAGCGTGTACTTGGCGTCTTTTTTTTACCTTTTTTTAAAAAAGGTAATTTTTTGATAGATATTATTTTTTTTTTTTTAATAATATATATACGACAGTTTTTTTTATTTAATATATACAACAATTTTTTTGAAAGGTAAAACATTTTTGTTTTGATTGTAATAAAATTGAGTGGAAATTATAAATATTGTTGAAACTAATTTAGTATACATAGAACAGAAATATTAAACTTTGAGCTATTTAATTTTATTTATTTTAGACAAATCATACACTAAAGTCTCTAAACAATTGTCACATAAGGCATAGTGATAATTGGTATGATTGTATAAATTTTAATTTTATCATACTTTCTGTCAAAAAAGCACATGATTCGAGACTTTAGTGTATGATTTGTCTAAAATAAATAAAATTAAATATCAAAGTTTAATATATTTCTGTTCTATGTATACTAAATTAGTTCTAACAATATTTATCATTTCCAGTCAATTTCATTCTGTTCTGTCTGTCCACTAACCACAGAATACTGAGAGTGTTGTCAACATGCCTTGCTACACTTCTGCACTTTAAGATCGAAAAAATTTTTTTCATGAAGAATACTATTATTTTGATATACACTATCTTTATTTGTCTCCACAACACGTTATATATACATTTTACGACCGATATTAATTATATCAATGTAATTACATAAAATATATCATCAAAGCTGCGAGCTGACAGGTCTGAGCGCCGCCATGTTAGAAATGTTAGAAAAGGAAAGACGTCTTTTAGGTAGAAAAAGAAATGCTAACGACGCTGACCAATAAGACATGAGCGACATACATCCTAGCGCGACATACATCCTAGCGAGATGATTTTTTAGATTTCTCGACTTTGAATGCATATATTTTATTTATATAAAGCACACCGAGCAAAAACAAGCAAACTTTCGTTATATATTTTAGGTATGCGCTTTCGATTGAGCCTATTGCCAACTCAATCGGCCCAGCCGTTATTGAGATCCGATAATCTCGGCTTATCTGAACTTTCCGTCTCGTAAAGAGACACGGTTGGTCTTGCGCTACGCGTGAACTTGGCGCGAGACACTACCGTGTCTCTTGATATATATTTTTTGCTTAAAATTAATTTATTTGTTTATTCTATTATATTTTTACAATTATTTGTTTTTGTGCTTTTCATTTAATAAATGTATACATTGTATATTTTTTGCATCTTATGCAAACATCTCATTGTTAGTATTTACAGTTCTGTAAGAAATTAAATATTCTAGATTTAGTTTTGTATTCAAATAAGTTCGTTTTGTGTCAATACTATTTTATGTATTTTTTTTTAAAGTTAATTTATTTGTTTATTTTATTATATTTTTGCAATTGTTTCTGTCTGTACTTTTCATTTAATAAATGTATATATTGCATATTTTTGCATTATTTTCTAATATTTCTGCATATTTTTACTAAATTTTGTGCATATATATGTGCATATATTCTTGTTTTTGCGTGCATATAATTCCCAGCTTTAGATATGATATAAGATTCTAAAGCATAAAAATGAATAAAATGTATTGATTTTAACATTTGTAATCATATTTTTACGTTTAAAATACAAGATTTCAATGCGCTTAATAAGTTATCCTGCATTGGCTCAGCAACCCATATAATCTATAATATTAGACAAATCGAAGAGTGTTGTTATTAATTGTTATTAATTTATCTACAATATTTTGCTTTATTATTTATTTTATAAATAATTTGATTTTACTTTTTCAACAGTTACACATGAAACCAATGTGAAACGACAAAGGTAAAGAAATTACTTATAGAAAAGGCAGATATGATAAATGAATATTTTTCAATTTATAGATAAAGTGGGAAATATGAAATCATTACCGTATTATTAGGTAAATATAATTTAATATCAAAAATTATATTACAATATTCTAAAAAGAAAATCAAGTTTACATGTCATTCATTTTAGATAAATATTTTCTATATGAACTAGAAATTCCATTGTATATAATGCGATTAGCAACAGAAATTGATTGAGAAAAAAACAACCAAATGCTTTCAAAATATTTGCCGAAAAACAATAAAATTTTACAGCTACATGAATCCAAAACACCAAATACACTATTGGAAATATATTACCGAGCATGTTTTATATCCTGCAATAAAAGAGAGCTTACTTCCGCCGAAATACTTCGCTTACGATTCAACAATATTAGAAATAATCAGTTTAATGATTTATATAAAATGTTCGAGAGGTGTTAAAATACCTGTAATATCGGGAGAAAGAATAACACGGTCGTTTACTTAGATATTTACTGAACCTTTATCGAGCGATCCACGTCGAATTGTAGCCGATCGAAGACTGCTCATATACATCGCGTATGCGTGCAGTAAACATAGATGAGATACTGTGCGCGCGCGCGCGTGTGTGTGTGTGTGTGTGTGTGTGCGCGTGTGTTTGCGGGTACTACAATACCTATTATTTTTTATTATACAAAAATATTCTAATTCATTATTTGTGCGCAGTTGTACACAACTTTATGTATAATATTTATATGACAAATATTAAATGCGATCAAAAGAGTGGCCATTTGGCCACGTTAATATTGACCACCGTTCCGATTGACCACGTTGCGATTGACTACGATCCCGATTGACCACGGTCCCGATTAACCATCGTCCCGATCGACTATGGTTTTGATTGACCAATGCAAACCAATGCAATACGTGGAATCGTATAATTATAAACCTCGTTTCGCATCTGAAGCACAGGGTGATGTAAGCTGGACCTCGTTTCGAGTGAAAAGTTGCAAACCCACGTGGAACCGTATAAAAATAAACTGTTCAATACCGTGTGTCCTACAGAATTGTTGATTTCCTAATCTAAAAGAGATAAATGTTAGAAGCATGGGGTCTGAGTAGTTTAGTAATCAGAACATTCGCCCGGCAAGCGAAAGACCCGGGTTCAATTCCCGGCTTAGCCACTCGCGCCCTGATATTTTTTCTCTCTCTTCCTTTCTTTCCAATAATTCTTATCAGTACATAATGATTCTCCATATGTGAGAACAATGTACTAAACTTTTCGTACACTTTAA